CCTCACCTGAACACCCTTGGCCCACTCCAATGTATTCTTTAGGCTGCACCTTGGGGGTGGGGTACACCTATGGTGCTGTCGTGGCCTGACAAGCTGGCTGTCCCCTCTGCTGACCTGCAGTGTGGTGGGGACGTGGCCAGCCTTCCCATTTCGGCCTCAAGGGCCTGGGATGAAGCTGAGAACCAAGAAGGTGACACCTCTGTTTGGTCATCTGAATTTTGTCTTGTAAACAGAGGTCACCAGGAGAGCTCCAGGCCCTGATACACTTACAGGTGAAGGGACCCTGTTCCTGGGGCTCTGACCACACTGTCAGGTCACGGGCCTGGCCATCTGTGGAGCCCAGGCCATGCTCAGGGCCACCTGACTAGCCACCAGAACTGGTGGGGAGCCCTGGGGTCCCCTAGGTTCACTCCTTCGCTCCCCAGCTACTCACTGCCCCTGAGGTGGACAGCCCTGCACTCAGGGGTGTCTGGACCATGCTGCCTCCCGGACAGGCATGCAGAGCACTGGATGGGAAGTGCTCACGTGGTCTGCCCCAGGCAAGTCCCTGGGGGGAGGGGACCCCCCACAAGGTCTGGCTGCAGAGGAGGCTCTCGGGTCCCTGGGGGCCCAAACCCAGCGCAGCCCCCACTCACTGCCCTCCGTTTCTCATGCCCCAGCCAGGAGGCTGAGGTCACGCCAACGGCCACTGCGATGGGGGCCACGAGGCGGGTGATAGGGCCAGGACCCTCCACAGTTGAAGGGGACCCCCAGGGCTCGCAGCCCTCCCTGGGGCTGCCTGTGTACCCAGCCCCCTGCTTGTCCGTGTGCACGTTAACTGGGGAGGCAAAGGGGAGCCCGTCACTGGGGCCGAGGAGCAGAGGTAGGGCAGGGCCGTCACAGATGCGAGGTGGGGATTTCAGATTATAGCTCCCAGCCATCTGCATATCGGCACTCTAAACAGCCAGCCCCTTGCACAAACAAGGTCATTTCAAAGATAAAAACACCCTGCCGTCCGCCCCTCTCCTCTCCCCTCTCACTGGGGCTGGTGGCTCACCAGGAGATGAGGACAGTACCAGGCAGGGCAGCCCCCTGCCCAACACCCCCTCCCCACTGTGGGCTGCAGCTGCCCCACAGGCTCAAGGCCGGGGTGGGTCCCCTGCTCTGCTCTCATTCACTTTCCCAGTGGCAGCCCCAAGGGACCCCCTCTCTTGGGACCAGATGCTCCCCCCAGCACCCGGCTCAGCACCCCGGGGTCCTGGCGTGGTATGTGTCTCCGGTGGGCACTCTCCTCTCCCACATCCACGCGGACCTGCTGACTTCAGTGTTGGTGTTACTTTTCTGGCAAGGACCCTCCCCTCCCAGACAGTCCACGGGGCTGGCGGTGTTTGGGCTCCATGAGGACGGGGGTGCCCCTGCCCAAGCTGGTATGGCCTCCGCACCAGTCTCACCCCCAGGGCTGCTGCCCCTGCCGCTCGGAGGAGGGGAGTGACTTCTCTGCGGACCCAGCCAGGACCCCGGGCTCCTGACGGTCAGCGGGGACCCCTGGTCAAGGTGCCCGTTACCAGCAGGAGTTCCTCCCTGCTTTGTGGTCTCACATAGCGGCTTCTCCCCCAGACCCTCCCTGACCCAGAGAGGCCCGGGCCGTCCCGGCAGACTGCCGGCACTGAGTGGGGAGCTGGCTCTACTCTGCGTGATTATAAAGGCGAGGAAACCAAGCCCAGAGAAGTCAGGCAACCTGCCACAGTCGCTCAGCAAAGCTGGCCCCAGGCCTGGGCAGGCAGCTTCCGGCCCCTCAGCACAGCGGGGGCTGGATGGGGTTCCTGCTTGAAGCAGTTGCACTTGGGAACTAGCCGCTGGCAGCTGACGGCGCTCTTGACGTCTGAAGTGGAGTGACATCCTGAGTGCCTCCCCACCTGTTTCTGGAGCTCTGGGGTCGTGGTGGGGTGGCGGGGGGCTGGCATGGGGGCAGTAACGAGGCTGGAGCTGACAGGCCCCTCAAACACCCTGTGGCCCAGATTTCACTGTGTGTGTGGCGCGCGTCCAGGGCCCCCGGGGAGGAGGGGCTGGAAGGCCTCCCTTCTGCCTGGGGTGGGGGTATTTCCTGGGGTCTCTGCTCAGGGCCTGGACCCCTGCAGGAAGGGCAGCTGCACCAGACCCACGCGTGGCTGGAGAGAGGCATGTGGCCCAGCCTCTCTGCCAGGTCGACTCACCTGCCCTGGGACCTTGCGGTCTCAGCGCCCGCCCTGGCATGGGTCTGACCCAGGAGCTGTCCTGGCCAGCAGAAGACAGTAGCCAGGAAGGCGAGGGGTGGGGGGCCACCCCCTGCCAGGGCCGCACCAGATGTGTGCGAGCCCTGGGCCTCACACAGGAAACCGAGGCTCAGTGGCCCCCCAGAGCCAGGCAGGACAGGGTGCACGTGGTCCCGGCTGGCTGGTGCCTCCATCCCAGAAGGAAAGGTAGGGCACCCCCCCACCATCCCTGGCCTGACAAGCCAGGTCCCCAGGGTGGCAGTCCTCACGTGGGATGGGGCAGGAGGAACTGGATTTCAAGAGATCCTCGGATGGGGAAGGGGTCAGAGGGACCGTGTGGGGGGGCCAGGGAACCACCAGGGCACCAGGACCTGGCGAAGGCTTGGCTGCACACCGCTTTCCCTTGGTTGGCCGGTCCCTGGGCCAGGCGCTGCCCTTGGGGATGCCGATCCAGCCGGCCCCGGCGAGGCCTGCCCCCCATCACCCGTGGGGCGGCCCCCACAAGATAAGAGCCCACGGGGCCTCTCTGGCTTCCCGGCCGGGCGATAACTGTGGCCTGTTTGGGGTCTGATAGAGGACGGCCACCACGGCGGTTGGCCAGCAACCGCTTATCGGCTCATCGCTGCCCACTACACAGAAATTCCTATCTGTGGGGGCTGACAGGGAGCCCCACCATGGCCCCCTGAAGATGCAAATAGCGCAGGAAGCTCCCGAGTGCACCCACCCGAGCCACGGCCCCCACAGCCGCCCTGAGGCCAGGCCCTGATCTCCAGGGGCCTCTGCCTTCCTGTCCGTAGAGCATGGATGCGGATGCTAAGAAGGCCGCATGGTGGGCGGGGGCCAACGCAGGACAGCTGGGCCTGCGTCCACACATGCACAGCCAGAGCTCCAGGGCTGGAGTCTGGTGTGCTGCCTCCGGGCGGTGACGTGGACCAGCCCCAGGGCTGCTCTGCGCCTGCCTCAGGGGTTGGTGTGAGGATGGCCCGGCCCCTTCATCTCTGCAGTCACGCTCCAGACTGCAGTCTCAGCCTCCGCCTGCCCAGGGTCCAATCCTTGGACTGGTGGTGGTCCCTGGACCACCCTGCAGTGTGGGAGCCATGGGGCCAAGGCAGGGCTAACTTGGAGTCTGTAGGTGCCTTGCTGTTACCTCGTCCTAGACCCAGGGAAAATGGGGCAGCAGAGTTGGCCCCAGCCCCACGGCTCTGTCCCCTGTGTGTGGAGAGGCCTGGCCCTGCAGGGGGGTGTCCAGCTCAGCCGTGCCCGACCGGTGGTGCGGGCTGCACAGACACGTGGCCTGAGGCCTGTCCCTGGCCAGGTGCTCCGTGCGCTGTGGGTACAGCTGGCCAGGGCTCCCGGGGCCCCTCCCTGCCTGTCACTGGGTCACCAGGGTGAGTCCTGACGGCAGCAGAGTGGCTGTGCTAACGCCCCTTCCCGTCCTGGGCTAGCACGGGGGCCCCAGCCTGTCTGACCCAGGGTGCTCCACAGCCCGCCCATGCTCTCAGTGGACTCGCCCCTGGCCTTGAGTCTGTGGTCGCAGTCCCCATCCTGGTTGTGACCAATGGCCAACCCTGCCCTCTCTGGGCCTCAGACGTGCACATACAGCAGAAAGAGGTGTGTGAAGACAGCAGGGAGCCCGGAAAACACACGAGCCCTCATCTCTTTGGTGCCCTGCAGACACCACTAATCAATCCAGCACTGTCTCACTGGCACCTCGGGATCACAACGAGGTTCACAGGGCTACTAGAACTGAACTGCAGGAGAGCATCTCTAACACCCCTGGGAGACCACGGGGGTCCTCTCTGCCCGGGTGAGGTCATCCCGGCCCCCACAAGCTGAGGCCCTTGCTGTACGTCCCCTGCGACCTCCCTCCCCACACTGCTGGCCGCCTGGTGTCACAGTTCCCCAGGAGCCTGTCTGTTCAGAGCTGACGTCCGGTACACAGCAGGTGCTCAGTACGTGCTTGATATGTGGCCACGCGCCTGGCCTGGGAGTGCGGCCTCCGTCCAGGCCCTGCATTCACCAGGGCCACGCCCGCCGGCCCTCACCTAGCAGCCCCCACGCGGGGCCCGGACGGCCAGCCGCACTGTGCTGGGTGAGCCCATCAGCTCCGATTAGGAATCGCAGCAACAGGTGACGCGCCCAGCCCGCCTGCAACTCAAGCCGGTGGAAATGGGGCGCCTCAGGGAGAGCCTAGTGGGCCCCGAGCTCACAGTTCCAGCTACAAACGGGGTGGGGCGGGGCAGTGCTGGGAGGCACAGAACCGCTTCAAAGACACGCCCTTCGTCCAGGAACCTGGGGGCTGGAGCTGCCTCCTGTCTCCTGTCCCTCCCGCCCCCCGAGGCCGGAGCCCCTTACTGGCTGGCGAGAGCCTGGCACGCGGCCAGTTCCAGAGCCACACCCCTGCCACCCTGCCTTGGCCCTGCTGCTCCCGCCTGGCGGATGCCCTTCCCGTCTTACGGCTGCTCCGCTGTCCCAGCCAGACCACACCCTGCCTCTAAGGAACCCTCAGAGGCCCATCCACTGCGCGGGCCTGGTTTAGCTCTGAGTGTCAGCACAGCTAGGTGCCCCCTCCAGGGAACCTGCGTACCCACAGGCCGGCTGGACTTTGGAACAGCTGCCAGGCTTGGGCCTAACAGCTCACCGCCCACCTCCTGGCCACCGTGCCCCACCCCGCGCCGTCAGCTGGCCGATTCTCAGGACACCCCACTGGCTGGGTCCCAGGGCCGCCTGTGAGGTGACGCTGCCGGACCCGGCTGCAGACACACTTACCTGGCCCGCTCCAGGGGCTGCTGGCTGCTTCCTCCTCCGGCCTCATCTCTGGCTCCTGATGCTCTGGCTCCTCAGGGCCTCCTGGGGAAGTGGGGGCCAGCGGCAGTGGAGGGGGTGGAGGATTAGCGTCTGCGGAAAGGAGACCAGTAGGTTCCTGGAGCCTCAGGACACCAAGGTGTCTGCCCACCCCGGCCCGCGGCCGAGAGGGATACTGAAGCCAGGTGGGTGAGCGTGTGGCCACAGTGGCCTCCTCACCCCGGCTTCTTCAAACTGGGGGTGCGATCACACATCTCAGTTTTGCCCCCCTGGCCTTAAAAAAAAACCCTCAGCCCCTCATTAACTGCAGCAGTGATAGGTGCCCTCCCCACTGCTGTTAATAATTAGAGTGTGGATGGCCTCTCGGCACGCCCAGGCCAGCGGGCACACGCGCAGCCCGGCTCCCGGTCTCCTCGCTGGCAGCTGGGGGCCCCTCTGCCAAGCCCCGCACCCAATTCCAGCCCAAAGGGCATATTTGCCTTCCCTGCTGGACCGATAACCACCGCGGCCCCCAATCAATGAAGTCCCATAAAAGCCCCCCCCTTGGTGACGTCACGCACCCGGCAGATTATTAATACCGCGATAAGGGCTGTGATTAACATCGAATAAATCAATCACACGGTATAAAAGTCCTATTATTTTTGGCTATAAATCAACGCGGCTGGCATCTGAGCTCCAGCCACTGCGCGGGAGCCACGCTGGGCCTGCCCGACAGGCAGACATTGCTCCTGCCGCCTTATCGAACCCATCAGCGCGTTATCACCGCAGTCTGTGCCAGGTGCAACCCCGACTGTTTTTTCCAGCTCCTCCCCGGGACCGCCCCGACTCCATGCAGCCCAGCTCCCAGATCAGATAAGGGACCCGGCTCCCAGGGGCAAAGTCCACCAGGAACCAGCCACTGGCCCTGTGGAGAGCGAGGCCCCCGTGAGCTCGCAGCATCTGATGGTGATGGAGATGGTGGTAGAGGCTCCCCGTCATGCCCTGGGCCACTGAGGGGCTCAGGCCCAGTTACAGATGTGGAAACCAAGGCTCAGAGAGGGCTGAGGCTGGGGCCAGGCTGGGGTGGGCGGGGCGGGTGCTGGCTGCAGTGCTAAGTGACTGATGGAGATGATGAAGGCAGAGACAGAAACAGCCACGAACAAGAGTGTCAGAGTCCAGGCCTGTGCCCCTCTGCTCTGTGCTCTGCTCAGGTGAGCTGAGGATGATGGGAGCCCTGGCCCTGGGTTCGAGTCCTGCTGGCCTGGCCTCACTGCAGGGGCCGGGACCCTGACGGGATGCATTGGGGAAGGGCACACAGGCTGCAGGGCTCAGAGGATGGGGCCTGTTGGGGGCCTGTGGTTATCCTGGGGAGACTCTAACACTGGCACCTTAGGGGGCTGGGGGGTCCACAGTGAGAAGCCCCCTCACCTTCTGTCTGGAATCTCTGCCTCTCAGTCCCAACCCTGCTGGGCTGTCCTGCTGTCCTTCTGTGTCCTACCCCAGGGCCTTTGCACGGGCAGCTCTACATGTCCTGCAGGTCTGCTCACAGCTGCCCCCACCCATCTGGCCTTCACTCCCGGTCACAGCACCACTCAGTCCTGTGACTGTCTCCCCATCACACTATGGCCCGGGGGTGACTCTGCCTCTGTGCACCAGGCTTCGTGGCACAGAGTGGGGATGGGAGTGAGGTTTCCACCCACGGCCAGCAGGGCAGAGGGGGCGGGGTGAGGTGAGCAGGACTCAGAGCCCACCCCCAAACCTTCTACTAACTGCCCCTAAGTCTCAGGTCCCTCTTCTGGAAAACAGGGGTGAGGGCGCTGACCCCCCCCAGGGCCTCCATCTCAGGGAGGCCCCTCCTCCTCGGGGTCTCTGGGGCAATCTGAGGATGTGGCTGGCCCGAGAGGCTGGTCCAGCTTTGAGGTCCTTCCAGGGACCTGGCCAGAGGAGACTCCTTGGTGTCAGTTAATCCACCCCTGGGTGTGTGTGGGAATCTCTCCTCCCAAGTCCTGTCCTCAGCTTCAGAAACACATCCCCAACCCCTGGGACGCTGCCACCAGGAGGGCCCAAGGAAAGGTTCCAGGTGCCCAGGGTGGGGTGGGGTGGCGAGGGTAGCCGGCAGAGAGCGCGGGAGTCCATCTGAATCCAGACCTAGGGTGGGATTCTGTTTGGGAGTTCACAGGCAGGGTGAGCCCCGGCAAATCACTTAGCCTCTCGGGGCCTCATTCTCTCGTTTGTAAAGGGAGCCCATGTGCTGAGGCAAGCGTATCTGTTTCACTGAGTCGGGGAGGTCACTCGGAGCCCACGTGACCCCAACTCAGCCTGGACTAGACCTGCCCCCTCTGGGCCTCGCTCTCCCCATCTGCGCCATGAAGGGCCCAGCTTTCTAGACCCCCATCCCCGACCCCCTCCACGCCTTCTCCTGGCCCTGCTGGGCACGGCCGGCCCACGGGCACCTCTCAGCACAACGCCCATTTCACAGGTGTGGAAACTTGAGTCCTCGGCGGGCACCGGCTCATGTGAAGTGGCGAGGATGGGGGGCAGCCCAGGAGGCCGGGGCCAGGCCTGCGGGGCCCATCGCCCAACTCACCTGGACTGGAAGGGCTTGCAGGCTCGGGCTCCAGCGCTGTGGCCTCCCGCTCTGGAAGGCTGGAGTCCGTGGCCTGGGCCTCTTCTTTGGCCTCCATATCTCCGAGGGAACCTGCGGACACAGCCCCAGAGGAGTCGTGAGGTGCTGCCCCCTCACAGTGCACCCACCACTGGCCCCCTGACCCTGTCAGAACCAGCGCAGCCCTGGGGGCCGGCGCAGCGGAACCAGGCGGAGTCTCAGCCCCTCACGCGGTCAGAGGCCTCGAGGGGGCAGCCACGAGCAGGGTGTCCCCCAGGGATGCGCGTACCCCGCCCCTGTACCCACCCCAAGGCCCGCACCGGTTCCCACACCTGGGGGTCACCCAGTCGCCCGCTGCCCGGGCCTGCTCGCCGGGCCCCCCAAGGGAGACATCGCCCCGGCCCCGCGCGGCTGCCCCCATGCCTGGGACCCTCCTTCAGGAAGTCCCCACACTCAGGGTTCCGCAGTCTGGGCACGTGCCGAGGGTGGGCCCCAGGGCCTGGCCCACAGGAGGAGCTCGTCAACCTGATTCAAGCGGCAATGGCCGACGAGGCACAGGTGGGCACGAAGGTGCCTGCAACCAGCCTATCATCTTCCCTCAGAGGCTCCTGCGGGGCGGGGGGCGCCCTGCAGGGCTCTTCTGACAGCCGAGCAGGCAGCCTGACCCCAGACCACCTGAGCAACCTGCCGGGGGTCCCCACGTACAGGCCAGGGTGGCAGAGTCAGGATGGTGCCGGTGCAGGGGGCACGAGACCCGTGGAGAGCAGCTGGCCCACCTCACCCGCCGCCAATTCCCGAGGCCCTCGCCTGCCCCCTTCCCAGCTCTTCCTCGGGACACCTGCCCCGCCCCTCCCCGCCCACTGCTCAGCTGCATCCCTGGATTCTAGCTCCAGGCCCCCACGGAGCTGTAAGGACAGGGGGTGGGCCGGCCAGGGCTCGCCTCTCGTGGCCGTGGGGCTCAGACACAGAACCAACCCCGGGATGAACCCTCATGGCATGGCGCAGTCTCCTCCGTGCGCCCTCAAGGGAGGCTCCACGGCAGGCTGGGAGCCTCCGACTCGTGCCCCTGGGGTGAGTGGGCGGCCTGACCCTCTGTGACCTCCCCCGCCTGTGGGGTTGGCTGGAGCAAGCACTGCCAGTCGCCTTGGGGGGCGCAGCACACAGGCCTGGGGTCAGCCCATTTGCCAGCCTCTGTCTAGAGTCCGGGTGCTTCGGCAGCTTACTCAGAATGGAGAGGGGCCCCCGAAGCTGTGGGCCCTTGTGCAGACAGCAGGGACTTCCTGGCCTCAGTGGCCAGCTCCGGAGAAGGGGTGCGAAGCTCCTGCTTTCAGGGACTGCAGGGACCAGAGTCCTGTGGTTGGGCATTTGCCTCTCCCCATCCCACTCTTCCGCCCAGGTGGGCCTCAGCCACCCAGGGAGGCCCCAGCTCCTGGCGGCTCCATTTATGAAAGAACAAAGGCATCCGCTTGGCACAAAGCGTGACAGGAGCGTGAAGAAAGAGGCTGCCGGCCGCAGCAATTTATCCTAATGGCGCTAATTCATTCTAGCACAATTAATGCTCTGATAACGCGGGAGACAATCGCCAACCAGCAAATGGCTCCAGGCCCACAAGAGGGATGTGATGGGATGTGATGCTGTGAATCCCGTCCCACGAGGCCTTGGAGCTTCTGCTGGAGCCTCCCTGCTGCCGTGACACCCCAGGGGCCACCTGGGCACCTGGGTCTCGACTCCACCTGAGGGGGCAGGGGGGCAGGAAAGTTTCTCCACTGACCGGAGGGACACTGCTGCTTCTCCAAGTGCCCTGGGCCAGAAAAGACCCTGCTTATCCCTGAGGAACCCTTTCTGCCCAGACACCCCAGCAGCCGGGCCAGGCCAACCCTCGGCCAGGCAGGCGGGGTCCTTGCTGTGTGACTTCAGGCAAGTCGCTCCACCTCTCTGCGCTCAGAAATCGTAATAGCTCCAACCCCGCATCATGAAGTCTGATTTCACCTGCATGGAGCCATGATCAGGGCCTGACACACAGTAAGTGTGCAGGAAATACCAATATCACCAACATCAACATCACACCAACATTAACAGTTATTGACGCCCCGCACCCAGCAGGGTCTGGGAAACGGGGCCAAGGTGGGGAGGCATACTGCTCCTATGGAGCTTCACATGTCTTTGAGCCCTGCGCTCAGCATCTACAAACGTCTCCCCCTCAAGCCCTCCCTGGCCTCATAACCCAGGGGTGGAGGACAGTGGGGAAGGTGTGAATGGGGAGCAGCAGCGGGAGGCAGGCCCGGATGTCAGGTGCAACGGGCAAGTGCCTGGGGGCCTCCCAACGCCCCAGAGGTGAGCCCCAGTCGTGGCCACTTTGCAGGTGAGTCAACAGAGGCCCTCGGCCAGAACCCCCCAACACTGCAACTTCCTGGCTGCTGCTCAGGCCTCCCCTGTGACCTGGGGTGAGGGTGACACCAGCCCCGTTGCCCGGAGGGGTGGAGAGCGGGGTCCAAGGCCGAGCACCTGTCTGGAGGCATCCACGGGGGACGATGCTGGTCACCAGCGCTGGGCGCAGCCCCCGCTGCCCGGAGCCCCTCAGTTATCACGGCAAGCAGACGCCCCGCGAGCCGATCTGTCTCCTGCTCATTAAGCCGGACGCCGAAATGGAAATGAAAACATAATAGCTATTTGATTGGGGGTGAGATATTTTGCATATTGGCTTGGTGCTGATAGTGGAATTTCATCAACTCCCTTTTTTCATGCTTTAAAACTGAATTACTGAGACAGACTCTGTGTGGAGGAACGATCCCTGCTCCTTCCAAGTCCTGGGCTGCCTGGTCCTCACAGCTTTGATGGTGAGACAGCTGGGGGTCCTTTTGAATGACTGCCCAGAAGAAAGTTGGAGCTGGCGGCTGAGGGGGACAAAAGCCCCCGAGGTGGCCCCAAGGGGGCTGGCGCAGAGTCGGGAAGTCCAGAGGCCCCGGGTGAACCCCGCCGGCCTCTGCAGACCGTGCTCACCCCCAAGGCCACTGGAAACATTAAGTGGAAGAATTGGGGCCAAGTCCGGTGGCCTCGCACCTGGACTCCACGCGTGACCCTGATGTGGGCCTTTCCCGAGACCCCCCCACGGCTGCTGTGTTACACAGTCATTCACAGCTCTGGGGTGGTCCTCTGTGTCCCCAAAGCACAGAGGAGGAGGGGAGGTGGGACTGCCAGGCCTCCCTCAGTGTTGGGGCCAGGGCCTGGTCATGCTCACAGGCCCACTGGCCCAGGGGTGGGATGGACACTGGTGGGCACGCGACCCTGCTCAGGTCCCCACCTGGAGTGCGGTGGACATGAGTGCCCACAGCCTCCTGCTCAACCGCTGTTCACTCTCTAGCTCTCCATTCACTCATGAAACCTCCCCTGAGTCCACCTTCCTGCACCAGGCCCTGGGGACCCTGCAGCCAACACATGGCCCGCCCCCCATCCCCCAGGAAAAAAAAGATGTGAAAAATGCAAGTGTGGCTACTGCCACCAAGGAGAGGTGGTGAGGCCAGTCAGGGAAGGCTTCCCGGAGGAGGTGACAAGTAAGCGGCGATCTGGGATGGGACAGGAGACTTCTGCAAGTGGGGCTGGGGAAGAGCACTCCAGGAGGAAGGAAAAGCAGAGGCCTGGGCCTTGTGTGCCACCCACCCCTCCAGCCCAGGTCCCACATGGAAAGCAGCTCGTGAGAGCAGCTTGTATCCAGGGCTGGGGTCACGGTTCAGTGAGGTGGTGTCGGTGGGTGCTGAGCACAGGCCTGACTTTATTACAACTGTTGCTATGATTTCAGCTCCCCAAGGAGGGGCCCTATGGACTCCTCTGAGGGGGTTTCAGGGTGCATGGGGGTGGAGACTGAGGGGTGTGGCAGAGGGAGGGGTATGAGGGGCTGGGGGCTGGGCAGGGCATCGTGGGCGGAGAAGAAAGACTGCCCCCCAGGCTGGTGGAAGGCCTGGCCCCCTGTCTCGCTGGCTCTGGTCAGCTAGCGGGCAGGAGAGGCACAGGGCTGCCAGGGAGAGACCCTGGCCTCTGGACGGCACAGTGACCAGATAAGGGCCCGATAACAGAGAGAAAATAGCAACAGATTCAGACTTTCCCATTGCTGGGCAGCGGGGCAGCTCAGGCCACGGTGGGGACAGAAGGCGGTAGGGACAGGCCCGCTCTCCCCGCGGAGCTGTGCTGTGTCCTGGGGGCTCGGGCCGTACTCGCAGACTGAGTGGGTCTGAAGCCTGACCCCTGAGGGGTCCGTGGGACCTCTGGTGACCCACCCCCAGCAGGAGGGGCTCTGGCACAGCTGTGTGGAGGGGGGAGCCTTAGCCCTGAGTGCAGAAGCTGCCCCGGCCCCTTGGGGCCACATGACCCCTCCTTCACCCCCAGTTCTCAAAATGAGCCAAGCCAAGTTGGATGGAGCAAAGCGAGTGAGAAGGGGAGCCCTTGGCTGGGGCGGGCGAGCAGGGCGGGCCTGGCGCATGGGGCCGGGGTGAAGGGCAGGGCTGTCCCACGCCTCGGAGCCCAGGCAGGAAAGGGGCACAGCGGTAGTCAGCGGGGTAGAGACAGAGTCTCGGGCCCAGGGAAGATCACCAAGGCCTGGAGGGTCCCATTAAGTCAGAACTTCTTACACCTCTGCCAACACTCAGCAGGGAGGTGGGTCCTGGCCCCTAGGCCCTAAGACGCTTGCACGGCACAGGGGCATAAGCCCCTTGGAGGAGGCTGGGAGCCTAGGCGCCCGTGGGTCCTCCCACACCCACCCTCCCGCCAGGGGCCCTTGGCCACGATGTCCCACCCCCCACCCAGCTGAGGTCTCCTCCTCCCTCTGTGAGATCCCCGCCCCCCCCTCAAGTCCAGGTCCGCCCTGTAGCCTCACATTTGTCTGCAGTTCTCCCCAGGGTGGGGTGCTCTGATGCTTTGCTGCCCCGCAGTGCCCCCAGCAGGGAGACCCCCGACCCTGCCGCAGACCACATCTCGGAAGACATTGCTGCAGTCGGCCCAGCGGGCTGCTTCTCCCAGGCTGAAGGTGTGCCCACAGCCTCGATGATGGGACAGCTCCCTGCAGAGTGCAGAGAGGCCTCTGGTCTTCTGGAGGC